TTTTCAGGACACGAGCTATAGCAACAATGGACTGCACCCTAAGGCGGACCGCAACTTCCTGATCGACATCAAACGTAAGGGGGAAAGTCCGAAGATAACGATGAAAGATGCTATTCTGTGGAAGTATCAGTCGAAGGCGACGAATAAGACGGTTTGGTATAAAACGGTGTTCTCCGAGCACGAAGATCCAGCAGAGATGGAGAAGCTGTACAGAACCAGGAACGACGCTGGCGACGACAGCCGAGGATTCATCCGAAGCAGTGGGAGTGCTTTCGTTGAGGCTGGCAAATCAAAGGCCGCTCTCGATAAGCACTTGAAGGATAAGTACCCTGTACTGTGGGAAGAGTACACCAACAGTTTGAGCAAAGGGTCTGCTAGGGATAGGTCGGCAACGCCCGAAGCAGAAAGCTCGCTCTCAAGTTCCGAGTTTAATGAACTGAAAACCACGGTTGAGGAATTGAAAATCACGGTTAATGGATTGAAGAAATGTATTCAACTTCTTATCCAGGATATGAAGTAAGTCCTACGGTGATGAGGTGGTCAATGGCGTCAAATTCATGGGGAGTTCCAGGGCCACAACGAGTGTCTGCTCTTTAGTTACCCTGCTGCTATGGAAACTATGCATAAAAATGGCTTTTCCGTACATGCTGAACAAGGCATGCTAACGTCCCCCCTACGTGGCGAGAAACCCGGTATGCCGAGAAAATGGGCTACTCTCATGCTTCTAAAAATGCTGCATTAATGTTGATAGTATGATAAACTCATTGCCACGTCAGAAAAACAAACCCCTTTTGTTGTGCTTAACGTATATCCCTAGGTGCTGGGACACCCTCCGTGCTGGGACAAATGAGGGGGTAACCTCCTTCCATACGCGGCGAACAACCCAGTGGGCCGATGTTGGCTAATGAGAGGTAGCGTAAGATCGGGATATCTGCTCCTCTTGCGCTCTCATTGGCCAACATCGGCTCGCTGGGTTGTTCGTCGCGCAAGGAGGTAGGTTCCTTCGCTGATGCATAGACAGTCTCGTGCACTCCTTTCCAAGCTAACTAACTTTATATCGACCTGACCCACTGTGAAATTGTTCTCAAAGATTGGCCATCGTCTACACTTTCAATGGTGGCCATGCGAACATTGCCGGCCAGCGAATGATGCAACGCACAATTCCCTTTGAGGCGTCAGAATGCGTCATGGAAGGCCGAGTCAACTATGAATTCTATGAGTTATATTCCGGCTCCATTGGACCATTGGAAATACCTATATCAACTGGACTTGGACGTCATGTTGTTTTCGATCCAGAAACTTCTGTATGATCGATGCCAGCCCCTGGCTCCAGTCCTGCTCTCCCACCATCACTCTCACCCCCACTCTCACTATCACTCTCACTTCCACTATCACTCTCACTTCCACTATCACTCTCACTTCCACTATCACTCTCACTTCCACTATCACTCTCACTTCCACTATCACTCTCACTTCCACTATCACTCTCACTTTCCCTCTCGTTCTCGTTCCCGTTCTCGTTCTCACCCCCATTCTCACTATCACTCTCACTTCCACTCTCATGCCAACTCTCACTTCGACCTGCGTCTTCTTCATCTTCTGCAGAACTCGACGTGTCCAGATTTCGGTCCTTGTCCTTTACGCTTGCCTGTTCTTCATCTGAACTCGCATCTTCATCCTCCCCCTTGCCTTCGTGAGAAGTAAGACGCCGGATCTCTTCCGTCGACCGGACCTTCAGCTTCTCGTGAAATAGACCCTGCAGGTTCTTTGGGATAAGTCCTTCCAACTCGCGTCTGTGATCTGGGTTCAAGTTCTGCACGAAGCCTTGTAGATCTTCAGCATCGCACTTGATCATTGTTTGAAGATTTTCGATAGATTTCCTGAGTTTCTCGCTGCTCTTCTCATGATCTTCTTGGTATTTCTTAAGTTCCTTGCCGGACTGCTCATGATTTTCTTGACATTTTTAAGTTCCTTGTCGGACTGCTCGTGATCTTCTTGGCATTTCTTAAGTTCCTTGCCGGACTGCTCATGCACTTCCCCAGATTTCTGGACCTCCACGATTGTGCTGAGGAAGCGTTTCGCAAAATCTTCGCAAGCCATGATGCAAGCAGTGAGGCAAATCTGGCGAATCGGGGGATGGATTTATGCAAAGCTGGAAAGCAAATGAACAAGGGTATGAGAGAGGACGTTCAAGTGACGGTAGTTGTCAAAGACACTTTGCGTGCTATAGCAAGCTGTTATATCCGGACAGGGATGGAAGTTCCTTGTTAGGCCCAACTCCTCATATATGACTTCGAGCGTGTGTAGTTGACAGCCGCGCATCAGCAGTGATCTCCCTCCATTATGACCGCTTCCCGTGCCATACTCAGCGAGCAAGACGCTACCTGTTCATCTGGATTACGTACACTACATGAGAAAACGGCCTACTGATACTAGTAGCTGACGACCATCGTGACAAGCCTGGAAGCACCCGTACATAAGCAGATTCACAATGACCCATGAAAGTGATCCTTTTATTTTGCGAATTCAACTGCGCTTCTTTATTCTAGGCGGTGAGAGAGCCTTGTCACAGGAAACGGAGTGTTAGTGCGGACTGCCCACTCGCAGCTGTAGATTAGATGCATGAGAGAGAAGAGGGACAGGTTGGTTCAGCATCATGTCCCTTGCATGGGATGGGTACATTGTTTATCAAACACACGTGGCTGATAGAACAATCGTTCTTTTGTGCCGGCTCGCGGCCGGGTGCTGACGAGCGCCATGGCGATGTGGCCGTCAGCACCCGGCAAGCAGCTTACACCACCCATTGGCATACCAGTCTTGTGGCATTCCGCCAGCCTGGAATTCCATGCTCGCGGAATTCCACAAGCCCACACATGGAATACCACGACCCTGGAATTCCATGCGAGGATTACTGCTGACGGTGATGCTCGTCTGCGCGGACGGACAGGGCTATATACAAGCTGCGGGCTTCAAATGACGACGCCTGCAAAGACGAGACGGCTTCCCACGCTTCTCTCTCGCCCCTGCATCACGATGCACCACCCCGACACACATGATGCGAGGCCTCACGACGTACAGCCTGTCGAGGCCGCGGTTGGACTCGCCAACTTTGCGGAGGCAATCGACGACGATGCATTTGCAAAGGCGTTGTTCGGGCTCACGCTCTGCATTCTGGGATCTCTCCTTATAGGGTTGTGGTGCTGAAACTAGGGGCTGTCGCGTCGCCTTGCGCGCTTGAGGTACGGCCGCCGCTCGGCTCGGAGGTTGTCAGTCAAAGCTAACGGCCGTCTTCGAAATCTTCCCCATCCCGATGCAGCGCCGACTTCGACCGACTACAAGCTCCTGCAGCATGAGGGCATGGTGCAAGCACGACGGCCAAAAGGGCACGCGATCTCCTCAGTGCCCCTCCAAGCCCTTCACCACGCCCTTCCATGTGTCATCGCGGCACCACACTGGTCGTCGCACCCTCATGCATACTCCTCTCAAACTGCCTATCCCCGGCCACGTTCCTGCCAAAGCAATGATTCACCGTTGCACGGCGCACGGTATAGGACGAGTGCGCAAACACGAAGGTGCTGCGTTCGCAGTTCTCTAGTAGTCATGGCCACTCCAGGCATCGTTCTTTCCACCCACGGCAGGGCTCACGAGCACCATTGTGTCCCTTGCAAGTCGTCTCGCTACCATCTACTGACCTGGAAGCACGTCATCATTTCCCCTGAACAGATGAAAGCCATCCTGGACGAAGCTTTACCTCCTCCGTTTCAGGCGTTCATCTCCAACCAACCTATTCTTTCGCCGACAGACGTAGCGCATAACCTATTCGACTGGTACCGGGATCCGGGCGAAGAGGTGTGGTTGGACGCATAGTAAGAGAACCAAGACTGGATGTATTACCTGTCGAAAGCGCCGCATAAAGTGTGGTGAAGAGCAACCTTCTTGCTACAACTGCAAGGTGAAGTCCAAGCGTGTGTGCGAGGGCTACAAGGATTTCGTTCCCAAACGACAACATAAACCTTCACAAAACCCTGTCGGCGTACCCGTCAATATACAAAATCTCGATTCAATGATTTTTAGGAAGCGATGTCAAAACTTTGGCGAGTCTAAGTCAGTTATCGCTATGCAAGACAGCACGCTTGGTTCGATCCAACCCCGCGCGTGTGGCAGCTTTGACTTCTCACACATCGACCCGGGCTTAGTTTCAGGCCGTCGAGAATCCCATAAGAGTTTTGCTGGACAGATTGCCTGCTATGCACACAAGCAAGCTTTTCCGCAGCCGCATCCGTTCCTTCTTCACCAGCAGCAACCTCCCACGCCAAGCCACCAAGCACATAGTCACGCCAACAACCTCCTCTCTTCCGCTGCCTTCGTCAATGTACATATGTCCACAAACACGGATATGACACAATTCGCACATCAACTACCGAGCACCCCTCTAATGAACCTAGAGTGCATCGTATCCATCAGTTCCGGCCTCAAACAACCACGAATGCAACCCAAAGGCCGCGGTTCCTCAGCCTGCGGCAAGCCACCCACAAGCCTATCGATCTCATATAATTCAAAATGTAGAGTAGATATTCTAGCATACTACTGATATGTCTGGCATCGAGTTACAGCCTGACATAACCTAATGATGATTATTATCTCTTCTCCATGTTTCAGCCCTTCTCCGTTGTCGCACCATGATGTTGGGCAGTCAAATCCTGGGTACTTCTTCAGTCATGCCTAGGGGTATCACTACACAGTTCTCTAGCACCCCAAGTTGCCCATCTGTCACCTTTTCCAAAGGTATTTCGATTGGGTTTCTTAGTGGTTGCTACCATGGAACGAATTGACAGCGCGCTGCAGCATTTAGGCACGAATTGTGATTACATCTTAGAGTCTTGGCTAGAAGAGAACAATACAGCCAAGGCAGCGGACCAGAGGTGTGTTGTAGCAGCCGCCCGACTTTGCACATATTGTGTTTCATCCTTAACTGCTGTTGTGGAATTTTTAGAGCTGTTATGATCAGACAACAGTAAAACGTGTTTAGAACTGCATCAAAGCGCCGAAGAGGTCGTAGACCCTCGCACAGATATCTTGGCACGCTCATCCATCAGCCTACAAAAGGCCGCAGCGAGACGTCATCGTACGGACTAGCCCTGCCAATTGTTGGCTTGCTGCATAGCACTCCCTTTCTAGCTCACCGGTTCCCCTTACGTCCTTCGCAGATAAGTGAAGGACTGCCCCTAGCGATGCGCCGCGGGTCGAGTGCCATGGCTAGAAGGGCTGATTCCTGGGCCGAAGAATCCCAGTGGTGGAGACTAACCATATCCATCTACGTATGTAAGCAGTGCAGGCATCAGCGGTCAGAGTGGAAGGCTTCTCGGTTCGACTATGCACATACCTGCTGCAGTGACGCGCATCGAGATATTGATAGCTGAATAGCATGCAAGAGGCTCTTATGTGAAAACGAAGAAGCGTGGTGGAAAATGAGTTTTGGTCATAACGCAAGGAGACCTTAGTGAGGTGTGGCACTAGGCGGTCTGTACTGCTATTCTTGTAACAAGTCGCTGTCGCTGCGGGCGAGTCCTCCAGTACGATCGCTACTTCTAAGACCCTACGAGATCGCTCAATTGGTGGAAATGACGGGCTGTGAGAGCGGAACGCCAATCTAGCATGGCCTGTTGGTGCTCTGATAACAATATGTTGCATGTTTGTCTGGCATCATATATGTCAGACAGAGCTATAGCCATGTAATGCCCATGACTGCACCGGTCGTTCCGCCTTTATTGGCCTTCCAGTCGATGAAACTTTTGCTCCGCGCCTAGAGGTAGCCACATTCATAATCAGCTTAGCGTCCGATAGATTACAGCCAATGAGATACGATGGAGCAAGCCATTGATGCTAGAAATTAGAGCTGTGATACCCATAGAGCGCCACATGAGCGCGAGGCTGTTTCTGACGATTCGCACAGTCTGACCGTGGAGGACACACAACTTTGACGTAACAATATGGACAATGATACAATGCAACCCGACCCACAATTTTATAGACCAAAGAAATGTTTCAAAGAGGAATACTCCAGATGCTGCATCTTTAAGCAATGCATGCACCACCTAGCTCGATAGTGGAATACCTACATTGAAAAGGTAAGATGATATGACACTGGGGATGGCATATGCATAGCCGCATCATGATTGATCACTAAGGGAATACGGAAACACGTACTCTCCCAACATCCAGGGTGTGCTGCAAATCTTCTAGACGACAAACGATCTCGAACAGTCCGTGCACATCTTTCTTTGGTTAGCTCACAGCGCCGAATGAGCCCTAGGTGCCGAAGCCCTCAAGGTTACGATCGAAGAGAACGACTGTTACCTTCGATACAAGAAGGAAAACATCCGCATGATATTTCCAGTGGTACATACCATGTCGTCGTTAGTTGTCATTGGTTTCCAACCTCTGTAGCCGTTCGTTGGATGTCATTGGACCTTACAAGTTCGTGGCGAAAAAGAACAAACCTTTCGGTAGCAGGGGAAAGGATGACGCGACCAGATTCCTCGTAAACCTTACGATGCTACATAGTATGGGCATTCGGGCTGCGCAAGCCCATAGCTCAATCTCGTGCAAGGTAATTTGAAGCACTGGCTGTGAGCGATCACGTTTTCCAAGGAAGGCTGCGTCTTGATCATCGTGGATGGGGTCGGAAAACGGAGGATTCTGTCGTGGAACGTGTCATGAGAGCCAAAATGGTTGATCCAGACATTGTGAACCACCCAAAGGTATGCTGTTCCTCAACTCCTCTCCCATGAACACTACTGCGGCTTACGCGCACAAACAGCAGGACTCATTGCAGCATGGGGAAGATTGACGCCCCATACTTATCAAGATAGCGGGCCTTCGAGATGATCTCGTAGGAGAGCCGATGCCGGAAAAAGGTTGTCGACTAAATCAAGAATGTCACTTGGATTCCTTCTGATTTCAGGCTCGGTCTTATCTTCTATATGCTCTGCTAAGCCACCCACGTCAATTCGAGTTCGTTACATTTTTCAAACGCACCTTCCCTCCTGCAACTAGGGCACGTGAAACCTTGATCATATGCTTTACAAGCTTTACGCCACCATTGCCAGTCTTTCCAACAGCAGACGTGTCCTGTCTGGGTTAGTTTAGCATCAGCGGAGACCTAGGCACATGTCACAAGGGCTACATATCACGTTTGCTAGGTGGCCGACCTCGTCCGTGCAGTGGGACGCAATAGAGCACTCCAGCGAATATATCTTGTTCCCCTCAACAGCACCATGCTGCTCATGTCGGGGACAGTTGATGTAGGTCAAATCTTCATTCTTGGTGAAATCCAGGTAGGCAACATTCTTCCTTCCACAGTCATCGCATAGTGTCTAGTTCAGCTTGTGAGTTATGCCAAGAAAACTTCTTCTAGTGCATCGTACACATTCGCGGAGGAGATAGAATGATTCTTCTCCATGATCTTTGTGACAACCAGCACAGCTTGCCATGGCACGACGTTTGGGTGCACGAGTGGGAGGGGCTTCCATCTTGGTACTCGTGGTGATCGTTGCGTAGGGCGAAGAAGGGGAAGAGCAACTAGACTCGTTCGCCACTTAAGCCTTACGGATTTCTGATCCTTCCTCTATCTGCTGTCGAATCGCTATTTATAGTTTCACTGTGCGCGGCGCGGATTACAGCTGCCTAGATTAGTACCCAAAACCTACTAGTTTAGGGGAAGTGGCCAGCAGACGCCACATCTGCATAGATAGATGAAGAACAACGAGATTTTGCTTACCTCTCCATCATCGTTTTCCTGCTTCCCTTTTACTGTTGACGTCGCCATCGTCACCCACGTGGCGTCATGAGCTCAAAGGATAACTTGGCCCTGGATCTTGAGCACGGCGTGCGACGATGGGATCGCACTCGATGGATATCCGTCTTCAGCGGGCATCATCCAACTATACGCGAAGAGACGGAATGCTTGGGTCTGGGCTTGTCGGCGTCTTCCTCCACCACCAACCGCGGCATTCCGAAGTTCGACTATCCAGACTATCGCAAACTATCCAGTGAGGTAACGAAACTGTCAAAGGAATTACCAAAAGAAAGAGATGCGTTGCTGGATTTTGCGGCGGATCCGAGTTCCCTGGACCAGGAGCTCGAGGACCTGCTAGCGAGTTACGGACCCGCTATTTGGGGCAAGGATGCGGATCGGAGCTGTTTACTCACACCAGATCCTACCAAGAAGACGTACAACAAAGACCTGTTCTACGAAGAGCCTGAGCATAAGGATATGTAAGTTAGGCTGATGGTCACGTCAGGTGCCAAATGTCAGAGCACGCGCTAAGCTCGATTTAGTCTCAAGATTCATCTGCATCGGTGGATCATCATCAAAGCTTGCTACTATATCCGCAACATGAAGCTGAAGAGGCCGTCGGGTGCGAACGAGTATGATCAGCTCGCCGATATTGATGGCGATGGCCTGGTGAGTTCAGATGCTACAATCGGTGTCGTCATAAAACTAATAAAGGGTAGTCGCCGCATGGAACGCCACAGTCGCTTACTCCACCAGACGCAGAAACTGTTGCAAGCGCAGACCTTGATGTAAAGCCTATCAACCTGAAGAAGCGCAAGCGCAATGCTCACCTAACCGTGTCTGACGATGACGACCTCGAGGCTTCGCCTGTCAAGCGACCTTACAGGACGATGCTTGTGAGCTGGAGGGGCTGTCCAAGAAGGTCACTCAAGTCACTGTATCCCGTGGGCCCGGGCAGTTTGGAAAACATCCCTCCAATGTCAACATACATTTCCCGTTTCTCATTAGCACCAGAACTCATGCCTGAACCCGCACGGCTACAGCTCAGTCCCTTGTCAAACAGCAACCACAACGGCGTGTCAAGGCCCCTTCCTGCCACGCAGAGTTTCACGAGATCGACACCTGCAGGCTCCACCCCAGTCAATACTGGAAGCTTCACCGCCGTTAACAATACGGCTCCTGCCAGTGAGCCACCTCGAGAGCCAGTACGGGAATCAACAAGAGAACCTTCGAGGGAACTGCATCGGCCTCCTCTAGCGATTGAATACCGTCATAGCAATAGCTATACAAGTCTGTATGAGCCATCGTCACACAGCGCAGCAATAGCTCGATCCGCTACCGACGCTCCTCATTTTGCACCGCCAGCAACTCCCACACCCGCTCCTGGTCAGGGGTTTCATGCGGTGAATGCTTCTTCGACAGTTAATGGAGCAATTGCACATATGAAGAAGGGGTTTCCAGCCGTTCAGCCTGCTCATCATGCACATAATCCTCCACAATCGCAGCAACAGCAGCAACAGCAGCAACAGCCACATGGCTCACAACAGACACCATCCCATCCTCCCCACCCAAATCAGGCGTCGCCACATGGCCAATCACGTCATATACAACGCACGCATTTTCAGTCTCACCCGCACATCCAGGCTCAGCAACAGCCTCCACCTCGACTACCAAGTCAGGCTAATACCCCTAGCCATCCTTTGGGCCCTTTTCCCCTTACGTCATCCCGGTGGATCTTTCCCCAAATGCGCGGGGCCCCCCCAATAAACCGACTATGGAAAATTGGAAACCCAAGTCACATCTGCGCCTGTGATACAAAACGCGCCAGCATACGGCATCCAGCTCGTTCCGGCACCAGAAGCACCTCCGCCCATCGGGCAGACAGCGAATGCCTTAAAACCCCCTAGTCAACCTGCCGCATCCCCCCCATCAACCCGTGCTGAAAACCCCAAAAACAACCAAAACCCGAGATTGCACAAGTCGTCCCGCCTCCCCCAGACGTTCCCCGGGGCTCAGATCACGGCCGACCTCCCCCCCTTCTTCAATGCCAAGTGACAGCCGGCCCTTCGCTTTTTCCCCCGCCACCACCATGCCCCCCGGGCGAACCCGCACTCCCCCGCATGCATACACGCCCCTCTGGTTCCAGGGCGAACCCCCTTTTCCGCCCGAATACCCCGCACTTCGACCTCGTCTCCAAGACCCTAACTGCATGGCTCCACGAACGCCAAGCCATCGCCTCGTTGCGTCACTCGATGCAAAAAACCCCGGTATCCCCAGTGGGACTTGTAGACCCGGGGTTTGCGGATGAACGGTTTTGGGCTATCCGACTCAAGTGGAAGAATATGAGTTCGATTGACGGAATGAGTCCGGAGGATCTATTGTGCATGGCGTTCAGAGGCATGACAAACACTGAGGGTTCGGAAAAATTTTTAAAAATTGGGTTGGCTGGCTTATTTGGGGTTTTTAAATTTCCCCTACGCAGCGAAGATGCGAAGATTGTTATTCAGAGGCGGGATATTATGGCTGGGTGAACCAGCGGCCTAAGCACTGTGTCTTTTCGTTCTTCATTCTTCGTTTCTTTTTTCTTAACTTCAGTTCGGTTCTCTCGCTAACTTCGTTTTCGACTCATATCTTGTACCTGTATCAATGCAACCTAACTGAGAACAGTGGCTTAGCGTTGTCCGGGCCCTTGCGTAGGTTCTCGTCTGTATGGCGTGTTTGCTTTTCAAAACTTAGCGACGGCATATGGGATCACCTCTGATTTCTCTTTGTCTCTTTCTGTCAGTACGAGGAGCAGGTGCAGGTTTCGATATAGCTTGTTTTACTGAATTGTTACTATTCCTACGTTGTAATGAGTGGTGACGTTGTGGGTGGCAATGATTGTAGGATGGTGGGTGTTCAAGTGGCATAGTGGTGGCGACGTCTTCCAACTCAGAGCATTTCACGATCGATACGTAGAGTGAAGTTTGCATCAATCACAGCATGGCTGTGCTTGGCCTGTAAAAATATCTTGGATTGCGTTGTGTTTTGTGAAACATGATCATGCAGTCACTAGATGGCCAAAGGAATCATCTTTGAAACGAGCCTGTATTCTGTAAACTCTATCTTTGAACGTAGCTGGTCATCTAACCACACACCTTCACGTATGCTGAATTTGGGAGCCCGGACGATACATCCCTACGTCGATGAATACGGGCTTTTCCCAAACCACGGGAAATGCGAATATCATCTGTCTAAATCCGCTCCTATAGCCACAGCGATCGACATACGATACCACTCTGAGGGCCGTCCTTCACTAATCTGGGGAGGAAGAAAAGAGGACCCGGGGGGCTGGGAAACGGAATCCATGCGGCAACCCCACAGTTGCCCGGGACATTCTCGTCCTATAGCATTCGTTGCGGCGGGCGTGTGGCTGGGGTTGAGGGGGTCCAAGTCATCCGTGCGAAGGTCTGCGAGCTCGTCGGCATTTTGATGTAATGCTGGCCACTATCAATTGTTGTCTGGTTGAAACAGCGTCGAAAATGCGATCAAAAAACTGTTCGCAGGGGCACGCTGAGACCTTGTTTTGTTCTTTGGGAGCTGTTGTCAAAGATGTTGTACAAGCGTTCTGACCCTTCTCCACATCTCACAAAAGATGCCCCTTTAGCCCTTAGACCAATACGCTCCCTCACCGCGAGTGTTGAACCATATGCTTCAAGGAGAAGACACTACAGATCGTGATCAAAACCTTCGCGACAAGGACCCGTGTCTTTTCAGCGCAGCCGATAGTAACAGAAATGGGGAGACTAAAGTTTGCTCGAAGATCCATCAAAACTCATATTCGCCGAAGTTTGGTTCTGTTCTGCACAAATGTTGGGGCGCATTCTTGCACGAGACTTCAAAGAGCTCTTTCTCAGTTCCCTCGTCTGGGTAGACTAGGTGTTGGCTTGTTACATAGCGCTTAGATCCTGGCTTACGGGTTCCTACGTCCCAAGCAGGTACTGGAAAGCCTGCCCTGGGCGACACACCGCTGGCCGCGCTCCGTGAACTGCCAATAGGCTAGATACGCAACGAATAGGCATTGGTAGTCTAGTGGTAGGGGTCAGTCGGGACTGATTGAGAACGATGAGCAGTGCAGTAGCCAGGCATCCTGGTGAGTGGTCCCTCGCTTTCGGCCTGCATACATCCGCTGCGTCGACGATCAAACTTGATACAAGGGGCGTTTACAAGAAGGCAAACAGATCCAATGAGACTGCAGATTGGGCTACAATACCGGGGTCCCGGGAGCGAAAATCCCTTTCAAGCGAGGGCACGGTTATTCTTGTCGCAAGCCGTCGCCCGCCGGATGAGTCCTCGATTGCGATCGTCACTCTCAACAACCCTACGATGGGCACGGCCCTCAGTCAGTGGAAATGGCGAGCTGAAAGGGGCGGGAGCGGGACCCCGGTTCACCCGGCGCTGATTTCGTGGTCAAGGACGACATAATACATGGTATCGGCAATTTGATAGGTTCGCTATCGATGAATGCCACGTATTGAAGGCGTCATGAAGGCAACCAGGCAAATGATTTGGGGCTTACGACACCGCCGTGACTTGGGGGAGATTTTTTGACCAGGCCCTGCGTTTACTGATCCCGAAGGACACCCCAGCAGACGGCCCAACAAGGCACAGGGGCTCTGGATTTGGGGGAAAAAGAGTCGCCATAGAAGTCAGGTTGACCGGAAAAGGAAAAGGTTCTGTTTCTTTTTTGGGTTTCCCGGTACTGTCAGCCATACTTCCGGCTAGTCGCATGGTAGGCAGACAATCAAGAATAACGGGCGGAGCATAAGTTTCAAAACTATTGGGATAGAGCTTTTTGGGATAGCGGAGGTTACCGCCCCGGGCTCATGCAAGACAAACGGATACGCTTTCCAAATGGGCGGTCATGCAGCTGTTGGTGACCACATATCGGGGCCCCTCTTCGGCCCTCGACGGAAGAGTCCTGCTGCACCCATCTATACATCATCTCCGCGAAACCCAGCTGTCTGGTCATGTGCCTGCAGCCGCTGTTCCCCCCGACGGGCGTTTGGCCATGCGGCGCCCCCTCACAAAATAAAATTACAGTCACTTGATGCCTGACCCAAGTGTGCCCCTCTACCCGCCTCAGAACCATGACTTCCGCATTTTCCCTTCCATTCTAGGCAGTATGATGACAGCGAGAAGGCAAGGGGGGAAATTGTCTTTTGGTACCTTCCCCAAAATGGGAGGAGGGGGGCGCTGACCAGCGACGCCGCGCCATCCACCGTACCATCGGCAAAACACCCCAGCGTCGCGGGGAAAAAAGCCCGCTTGAAAAGGTAGCCCTAGTCACGACCACTAGTAGAATTGGGAGCACAAACGCCCACAGACCGACTACGGCTGTGCCTTCCTTCCACCGGCGCCCGTTCCTTCGGCGCACAAAATCGGGGTACCACCAGCGAAAAAGCGATCGACAACTTGGGGTTCACCCCCCCATACCAACGACCAAGAGAGCGACTTTAGGTTTCTACCAAAACTCATTGCAATCGCGATGTACCGCGGCTTTTTTCCAGCACAGACTCGAGAGTCAAGGATCTCGGCGTCGAAGTAGAAATTGGGGCTCGGTTTAAAGGGTTTGGGGGAGCGACGTGGTTTTTTCGGGTACGAAAATTTGTGAGCAGGAAAAGGGGGGTTTGGCCGCCTCGCACCACGCCGCATGACAACGTGGCTCCCATCATCGCCAAGTTGCGACCCTCTGAATGGTTCGGGGATTCCCCATCTCGGGATCCCGAGTATGGGTTTGGTAACAAAGAGCCCTTTGGGGGTTTAAAACGGGGGGTTGGGTGAGGAGAAAGATTTTGGGGTTTTTATTGAAAGTACAGGCTCCACCCCAGTGAGTGGCTGCCCACTCGGCTCGACCGGCCCGTACCCGCTTCAATGGCGCACAAGGAGATATTTATAGTCGAGCGGCATGCAAGGGGCGCCTATAGAAAGGGAAGAGGATGTTGGGCAGTTATTTCGGTCATATCGTAATGAGTCGCTGGGGGTTGTGTGACGCGAAGGTCTGTCCCGGTTGTTCTTTAAGCAAGCTGCCGTAGCTGCGAGTGTGTCCTCGATTCGATCGCTACTCTTAACAATCCAAAGGACGAGGGGAAAAGCCCTCAATCGGTAGAAATGACGAGGAGCCCGGGGGGACGCCAATTTTGGACGCCTGTTGGTCATTATAATTTTCAGACAAGGCTGCAGCTGTGTGACGCAATGACTGCCCCCTTCTTCGACCTCCAACAGAATGTAAGCAACGAGACACGATTTGAAGCCATTGCTTGCTAGAAATGGGGTGCATGATATGGGAAAGTGCTGCATCAGCGGTAGGCTGCTGACACCCCCCCGCAGTTTTGCCATGAAAGACGCATGAATGTGGCCTCAAAACCAATCAATTGAACTTTCAGCAACTGATTTCGGCCTTCTAATACAACGCAACCAAACCCCAATTATCAAGGATGTACCGCCTATCTTGTTAACGTCAGACAATTTTTAAAAACGACTGTAAAAAGGTTCTTTTTTGGGTTTTGCTGCGGGTCGGCCTTATAAATGGGGGGCCCCCCAAAAAAGGAACTATCCGTCCAGCAAATTCTCCTCAACACAAGTGAGAACACATCCACAACTCAGACTCACAAATATATATAACATTCTTACATCTGCCCTGATTACCTCCCTCTAAAACCCTTCCACCAGTTTAATTTGGCTGCTCACGCGTTCTTGAAAAAAGGGGAAAAACCCTTGGCCCTAATGAAAAAAAATGCCAATAAATTGGCAATATACCGGTCTTTGCTACCCCGGTATGAAGGTTCCAGCTGTTCAAATCTATGGGTTTTTCGTGCCAGATGTTTTAAAATTTTTGGCCAGGAGTACAGCCGTTCTGGGCAGCTGAGGGCGTCTACCTCGTAGAAAAGGATCATGGGGATCATTCATGTAATCGGGGGATTACTTGTGTATGCAGCTGAAAAAATGTTTTTTATGCCAGTGCCTATGTCAAGGAGAACATACTGGGGGAGACCAAAGGGGGGAATATTTCCCAA